ATATCCTCTTGGGACATGGAATTTTCGGCATGGTATTTCTCAGAGAAGTCTGTCTCCAGTGCTCTTATCACATTCAAAGGAGTGATGCTTGGAGCCTCCGTCACCGAGACTCTATGGCAGACACTTGTGGCGTAATTACTGGAACTGGAGTCATCGTAGCCCACAATTGTCCACCCAAGATCTGTTTTGATGGCAAATGGTTCGTCGTCTTGACCAGTTATGGTATCTCTTGGTGCCAAGGCTTGTGGGCAGTTATAGCCAATGAGCATGCCGACCTCGCAATTCTGCACGGGAACCATCTCGTGGGCTATGCAAGCAAGGTGAGGCCATCTTCGTGCCGTGTCTGGAGTAGGGATGGTGCACTTGTTCACTGGAATGAAATCCCTTGTGTATGCTCGAGGAATTTGCACTCTGTTGGATGAATGTATGCCTCTAACTTGTAGGCTGGTGACGGCACTGCAATAGATCGTGGAAGATGTTGATGTCATTGTGGAAAGCTTGAGTCGTATTGGTTCACAACAGGCTGAAATGGACTTTGCAGTGTGGTCCAGGATAAATGTGCAGTCGCTCTGAGTGTCTAACAGGGCATAAGTCAGCACTTCCATTGAAGGAGAATCTGTAGATGAGACCCATACTGGGACTATCATCGAAGTTCCACATCCACTTCCCATCTGCATGCCACATGACATCACATGTGCATGTACTTCCTTGGAGTTCTCTTTTTTGGAATTCTCTCCCTTGGGATTAGTTTCAGTTGTCTGTGCCAGGGCATCATCATGCAGAATTGTCGGATGTCGCCTTTTACACTTATCACAGCTCAGCTTTCTATGACAGTCCTTGGACATATGACCTCTCTTCAGGCAGGCAAAACATAACCTGTTTTCTTGGACGAACTTTCTCTTTTCGACGAGAGACTTCATGTCAAAGCCAGGGCATTTACTCAAATGATGATCAGTCTTCTTGCAAAACTGGCATGGCTCCGGGAGCTGGCCTTCCTTGGGCTTTTTGTGCAGCTCATGAGAACCAACTGTTAGAGTTGTGCCCCTGCTACGGTTGGCTCTTCTCTTAGCTCCTCGTGTTTCCTCTGACTCTGGTAGGTCTGCCGCTTTCAGTGCATGCAATGAAGAGATGGGATCGCATGCTATTCTAGCTTCCTTACGAATGAATTCTACGAACTCTTCAAACCCAGGGTAGTCACCTGTTTCATCAAGCATCTGTGTAACCTTCCTATTCCATCGAGCTGTAGCCCAGTCTGGCAATTTGGAGAGAAGACGTCGGTTGTCTTCACAGTCATCCAGTATTTTCAAGGCAGGAACATGAGGAATGGCGTCTTTACATGCCTTGAGGAAATCTGCAAACTGTTGCAGAGCGTTAGCATCCTTCGGGCCTATCCTCTGCCATTTAGATCATTTATCTCAAAACGCCTTCTGGATTTTGAAGGGGTGTCCGTAACGCTCCTCAAGTAGCTGCCAAGCCCCTTCATATGACTCCGCTGATGTGCTGTAGAAGAAGCCCTCCACTGCCTTAAGCGCTTCTCCACCAAGATACCTCTTCAAGTAGTATACTCTCTCTGGCGTGGAGATAGCCTTTGATTCAATTAGTGTCTTAAAGCTGGTTTTCCACTCAACATAGCGGATTGGGTCTCCCACAAACACAGTTGGTTCTGGAGGAGGCAACTTCTGGATTGCCATGCAATCTCTCAGGCTAATAGCCAGTGCAGCTACATCACCACCTCCTGATGACTTGGCTGGGCTTGGTTGTGTCATTTGTGACTGTTCCTGCACGTCAGTTGGCTCAAGATGTGGCTCATCAAGTAGGGCACCTACTTGACTATCGTCTTAACTGCCATTACAATCCCGGTTGTATACTTCAAATTGGGCGCGTGCTGCCTCCAGCTCCTTTTCCTTTTCTAGTCGTTCTATTTCTCTCTGTTTCTTGTCTTGTTGTCGTTGCATCTCTTCCTTTTGCCGCTGCAGCTCATCCAATTCTGCTTGTTTTTGCTGTTTTACTTCCAGCATTTTTATTTCTACCTCACGAGCTGCCAATTCAGCAGCAGCTTTTGCTCGTCTGCTCGAGATGCTCTCGGATGAGCCGAAGGACCCTTGGCTTGGTGCTTTCGTGGAGAACACTGATGCGTTACTGTCAGCATGTAGCAATTGTGTTAGTTCCCTGGAGATATATGCTGTTCCCGCATCTTCCTTGACAGCAACAATATTCAACAACTGTTGCGTTAAAGCTGAGCATGTGTCAACTCTACGTCGCAATTCTTGTTCTGGGGTTCCAGTTTCTCGGCAAGCATCGTATGAATCTATCAGGTCGTCCCTGGTGATATGCAGTGATGAAAAGATTTCAGTCAGTGTGTGGCTCGTGCAATAACCCTTCAACTGCCGTCTTGCAGCCTTACAGCATTCCTTCCACGACTCATACTTTTGGGCGAAAGCTTTCTTCAATTTTGCTTGCTTTTTAGCTTTCTCTAATTCTTGAAGCTCTGCCATCTTGGCCGTGGGCTGCTTTGCTCTGCTGCTTTTCCTTCTTTTGCCATCAGAGGGCTTGCTGAGTTGGAGGAGTTGCTCCTGCTTGACTTTGACTTCCTTCAAGATTCGCTCTCTTTCTGCAGGATCCTCTACTGACTCTAAAGCTGAAGTGTGTTCTTCAATCTGTTCCTCAAGCTGCTTCACTTGGTCTTGGTCGTTTACTTCCTGGCTAGCCATGACATTAACTTGGGAACAATATTATCAATGCAAGATAATTTCACACTTTCTGTAAATCTACGGTCAACAAAAATAACATGTGCTTGTAGAATGATACATAAATGCACCCTAACTACATCAGGCATCTCTATTAACTACGACTGTGTGCGCATTTAACTATATCAAGAAGCAACTAAATTCAGCAGCAACACACTTCTCAATAAAGTACACAGAAAATATTCTGTCAATGTCACAGTACGCTATGGGTGAAATGCCGGTGATGTGCACGTAACATGAAACAATATGCAAATCAACAATCTCTCATTATGCATCAAACAATGACTCAAATCAGTAGTGAACAATGTTGCACAAATGTAAACAATGTGAGAGTACACGTAGGCTAATGGTGTTTCACTGTGCAGTAAACAAAATGCAGCAAAAATGTTTCCCAAAACACGGCTGATCTGGAAAGTTGTATGCAATCGGTTCTTAAATTCTTACAGCAAATTTTACACAAACTTCATACGCTATGCTTTACGTGACATTCATGGCACAGCGTTACGTGATTTTATTGTCAATAACTGACTGTTCATTGTTAAGTTCCGCGTACAGTTCTGCACAGTTCATGTAGACTTAGTCTTGGACTTGCTGAACTTTTGATGCTGGTCGACTCTCCCGTCTCTGGAACTTGCTGAAGCTTGAGCCAATAAGTGTGGACAGGAAACCTGATGAGAAGTCGAAGACTTGTTTCACCTGGTCCATGATGTCCGAGATGAAGCTAGGTGAAGGACGAATGGTACCGGTTGGCCTACGGAAGACATGCGGTACTCAACGCTTGTGTAGCATCGCCGGTTCAGAAAGGATCATCAGTGTGGTCCACCTCATACGAAGACTAGCGAAATGATGATCCCGAGATCTCACTGTAGCTGCGCCAACTACCCAGCTAGCAGTCAATGGCAGACACGCTCTCACGGATGTAACTTAACATGTGATTTATTCCGAGTGAAACATCATTGAATGACATTGAACGGTAGAACATCATGAATGTCAGTGAACATCGTGAACGTTGGTGAACATCACTCATGGAACATCATAGAACATCTTAGAACATCATACAGAACATCGTGAGATCTGACAATCAAAAACATGTAACCATAACAGTATTGAGAACAGATCTCACCAAATTAAGAATCTTACATGTTCAAACAGAAAATAAACAATGAGATATTTGCATGATAAAGGTTTGAGGCTTCATCCAAGACACATAACCTTATTTCTAGAATAAACTTGCATGTTAAATGCATGGGTTTATATAGATAGAAATGACACAAACTTTGATCTAATAAACCTTCATTTTCTAGCAAAAATCCTATATACTAAAGATTAATAATTGAACAATAAGGTAAGGCAAGCAAACCCCCACTTTGGTAAGAAGTATTTTCCTTTATATTTTTTTAGCATTTTGGATAAGACAGCTTAAGTTATTTGTTCATATTTCCTGAGATTTCTTTGAGAGGATAACCATTCAGTGATCCCTGACTATACTTTTATCTGACCAACAATGTGCTGTTCATGCTATGCCATGCTGTTTATGCAGAAGTAGTTTTTAGCTTAATGCCAGAGATTCAGAAGAATTAAGGATAGTTCTGGTTACCCAAGTTTTGAATTATTTAGATACCTTTGGTTTATTTCTTTGATTTGTTGATGCTGTGAGTCAAGAAACTGTAACAGTCATGAAAGCTGCAGATTAGTGACTAGACTTCTTTTTATGACTCAGTTTGCCAAGTTAACTTCTATAATTTCCCATGTATTGCTGTTTTCTTATTAGTGTTACTTTCCATTGAATTCCAGATTGTTATCTCAATCTCAGTGAACAAGCACACACCACAAGAGCAGTGTCAAGTGACCCACAGTTTGTGTGTGATAGTCCACTAGGTTGTGAATGAATAATCATTTGGGTCTCATAAGTTACAAGTTTGAGACACATTCTAAAGTTATGAGAGTTCAAAACTCCCCAAGGCACATGTGGGTCTAAGGCAGCCACAAACAGTATTGTAAGGCGTGGCAATACATGGGTTGGAATGCTGGGTGTTGGCATTCGCAGTCATGGCGCTACACATTTCACTTTTTTTTTTGCAATTCTCCCAAGAGCAAATTGGCCGGTCATCTAACATCGGTATTGTAGGCTTCACTGTGAGGAAGTGACAAGGTTCACTTGGAAAGGGAGGCGTGGCTCAAAGGGTAACACAACAACTCTATGGCAGCGATTAAACTGATGAGCAGGATGGTTTAATGAAGAAACTGTCTGTTTATTATACCCAGATAATTAGAAATAAAGGGGGTAGTGACTTGCAATTGGCCAGGATACTGTAGCAATCTTGGGGAAAATGTGCTTTGTGAACGGAATGGTGGAGCAGAAACCAGTGATGAAGTCTTGGAAATATATGGAACAGGAAACCGTGGCGACTGGGGAATAAACAGAAATACTGGAATGCACGTACATGTGCCCACTAGACAACATAATTGTACATGTAACATTGCAACAATTGTCCCCAATTAAAGCTAAGGTTTGTACTCTAAACTCCTCTATTTTACATACTAACACAAGAATCACTGTATAATCTTATACTATGAACACTAAAGAACATATGGCTGTACTCACAATTGTCAGTAACGCACGGTAAGGGCAAATTTGGAGGTATGTTGATTGGATATGAGCTTGGTAAACCTAACTTTAGAACGGAATGTACGGCGCCAGAATGAGCAACCTACTGAGGGCGCCCTACCAACTATTGCCCGGTCAGTAGACAGTGAGGGACTTTCTTACAGCCGCCCCCACATTTGGGTACTAAATGTGAAACCAAGAAAGTCTTAAGTTAGTGTTCAGTCTGTGATGGTCCTCAGACAGGCAGTTGTCGTCGTCCTTGCATTCTGGCAGACGGATCAAGGGGGCAACTGGTCTGGTGTACACCTTGTCATGGACTCAGACCTTTGCCGCTCTCACATGTCCATCAGTTCCAGGATGTGTCTCGCATATCTTCCCTACTGGCCACTGAGCTCTAACCAGCTGGGGGCTCGACGACCATGATGACGTCTCCACAGGCCAGGTCTCTGGATTCAGTCTGCCACTTTTGCCGACTCTGTAGACTGGGAAGGTAGGATTTGATGAAGTGAGCCCAGAACTGGGCTCACTTCGTCCCATGGGTTCTTTGGAGGTGTAGACGACCTGTGGAAGGTTAGGATCTAGCTGCCCCATCAGAAGCATGTTTGGGGTCATCGGATCAACGTCAACAGCATCTGAAGAGACGTAACCCATGGGTTTTGAGTTGAGAATCCCCTCGACTTCAGCTAAGACGGTTCGGAGTACTGGTTCTGTGACTGACTGGTCTCCCAAAGCAGCTCTGAGTCCAGCCTTGATCGACTTCACCTCTCTCTCCCAGGAGCCGCCGAAGTGGGGAGCATTTGGCGGGTTAAACTGGAATCACACCTTTTGTTTAAAGACTGTTGGCTTAGATCTGGAGCCATGGAAGCAAAGGCACTTCAGAGTTCTGCTTCTGCACCCTTGAAATTGGTCCCGCAGTCAGACAGGATTTCATATGGTTTGCCCCTTAGGGAGGTCAAACGGCGAAAGGCCATCAGGAATGCATCTGTGTCTAAGCTCTCCAGCAAATCCAAGTGTATGGCACGTGTGGTCATGCACTTGAAGATGACTCCCCATCTCTTCTCTGTGCGTCAACCAATCTTAACCGTCATTGGCCCAAAGCAATCAACGCCCGTTGAGAAGAAGGCTGGCTTGAAGAGACGGAGACTGGAAGAGGGCAGGTCGGCCATTTTGGGAACTGCTGGTTTGCTGCGCCACTTGCAGCAGTCGTTGCACTGGCGCTGGTGAATTGCCTCTCGGCCTCGCAGGATCCAGAATTTCCACCGTATTTCAGCAAGGAGTCGCTGATCGTAGACTTGGATAACAAACTTGGTGATATGATGCTTCGGGTCAAGAATGATTGGGTGCTTAACTTCGTCCTCTGCCTGTCGCAATCGGCCTCCCACTCTGATCAGTCCAGAGGTTTCATCATGCTCAGGGCTGAGCTGTGCTCATCTGCTCCCAGAAGGTAACTGCTTGTTCTGCATCAGAGCATGGACTTCCTGTGGGAAGCAGTCTACTTGTACCTGAAGCAAAAGTTTGATCTCGATGACTTCTTCCCTCTTGACCAGTGTTGAAGGAGATATGTCAGCAGTTGCCGCTGCGTCATGAAGCTCCTTGAAAGCCCGTATGAGGCCATTCCAACTGCGGTACTGTTCTGGGTTTGGCAACTGGGGCTCTTTCACGGTGATCGCTCCACAGAATGTTGCTCCCTTCAGTTCTACGGTGTCGTCCGGTTCGTCAACCAAGGGGCTTGCCGGCCAGCGATGAGGAGGTAAGGACAGAAAGGACTGGCCATTTCTCCATCTTTGTTCATTAGAGAGTTCATACACCGTCTTACCCCGAGTGATGTCATCAGCAGGGTTGTTGGCTGTGTCAACATAACACCAATTCTCTGGATTGCTCAGGGACTGTATCTCTGCTACTCGTGTCCCGACAAACACCTTGTATCTGCAGGAGTCAGACTTCAGCCAGCATAGTGCTGTAGTGGAATCACTCCACAGGGTAATCTTCTGGATGGAAAGGGTCAACTCCTTTCTGAGCAAATTTGCCAACTGTGCACCGACCAGTGCAGCAGAAAGTTCCAACCTTGGGATGGAAAGTTGCCCCTTGGGAGCTACCCTGGAACATGAGAGGATGAAACTGGTATGGATGCTTCCTTTGTGACCTTCAGTGCGCAGGTAGGCGACCGAGCCATAGACTCTTTCTGAGGCATCACTGAAGATGTGGACTTCTCGGTTGGTCGTCTTAGTGTCAACTTCAGGTGGTGTGTAACACCTTGGCAGTCGAAGCTTTGGTAGGTCAGCCAGTTCCTGTTCCCATGTGTGCCATCTGGTGAGGATATCTCCAAACTCTATCGGGTCATCCCAGGTTCTCTTTGACTTCCACAGATCCTGGACAATTACCTTAGCTCTTGCAGTGAATGGTGCAACGAAACCAATTGGATCATACTGGCTGGCCATGATTTTGTAGACAGTTCCGAGGTTGAGCATTTGGTAAGCAATGGGTCGGTGCTTGTAGCCAAGGTCATCTGCATCGCACTTCCACTGCAGTCCAAGTGTGGCCTCGGGTGTGTCACTCTGACCAAAGACATGCCAAAGGTCAAATCCATCAGATCTGGCAGCAGCTGGCAGATCTGCTACCACTGAGGGGATATTGCTTGCCCATTGGCGAATGTTGAAGCCACCTGTTGCAAGCAGTGTGCGTATCTTCATGACCAGTTCTTTAGCTGCTTTGGCTGAGGGCAGACTGTCCAGGCAGTTGTCTACATAAAAGGATTGTTGGACAGCACGTGCGACCTCTTCGTTGCCCCTCTGGTGGTCGAGTACATGCCTTTGCGGGCAAATGAGGCGCAGCAGGGGCTACAGGGTGTGCCGAACGGAAGAACCTGCCACTCATAGACATTAGGCTTAGATGCTCTGTCCATGTTCAGCCAGATGAATCTCAAGAGGGGTTTGTCGGCTGGTAGGAGACGTATCTGGTGGAACATTGCTTGGATATCTCCAGATACTGCCACAGGGTGCTGCCTAAATCTGAGGACTCCTCCAAGGAAGGATGCTCCATACTTGGGTCCGGGTAGGAGATGGCCGTTCAGCACCTGTCCATCATGTTCAAATGAACAGTTGAACACCAAACGTGGCTTACCGCTGGTTTCAACAATGCGATGTGGAAAGTACCTCTCCTCAGTCTGCTGGGCTTCTGCATCACTGAGGACTCTCACGTAGCCTGCATCAAGTAGCTTCTGAATTTGCTCTTTGTGGATCCTAGCAAGGTCAGGATGTTTCTGGAGTTGTCTCTCTGTACGCTTCAGGTTTGGGAAAACTGCTTCTTTGCCAGCATGGAAGTGGGTTCCATCATTCCTCCGCAAGAGGGGTGTGGCATAGCGCAGAACTCCTCCTTCTTCAATGCGAACTGTTTTTGCTTCAAGCAGTTCCACAGCATACTGGTCTTGCTTGGAACGGGTTACAATCTTCTCACTAGTGTAAGGGATCACATCAGCCTTCCACAATCTCTCAACTTGCTGCATAAGGTCATGGTTCTCTGGACAAATGGTAATCTTGAAGCACTTCTGCTCACTGAACTGTTCCTTCAGGACTCCAGCCGGTCCCTGAAGTGTCCAACCCAATTCGGTGCATACAGCCTCTGGTGCTCCACTGGGGCCCAATTTCACCGGTTGCTGTGGGGTGATTAGGTCAGAGTAGTCAGCGCCAATCAGGATCGAGGAAATTGCGTTGTTGATCAGAGGCAGTGCAACTCCACGTAAGTGGGGCCAACGCTTCTGAAGACCTGTAACTGGATAGGTATATTCTGACAGGCATAAACTGTCAGCGGTGAAAACTCCTTTTATGTCGTACCTGGTGTCAGGATGTTCCCTCATGGACACTTGGAAATTGACCGATTGCCCTTCAGATTGGAAAGGCAGTTGTTGAACTGTCGATAAGAGAATATAGTCTTTCTTCGCATTGAGGTTCAGTTGCTGGACTGCATCGTTGAGCACCATTGTTCTCATGGAGCCATCGTCAAGCACAGCATGTGTTTCAAGTTTGCCAGCAGGACCATGGAGAGTGATTGGAACGACCTTTAACATGACATTATGGGACGCAGGGGCCGGTCTAGGTAAGTCATTTGAGTCATCACTCCAACAGTATAGATTCTGCTTGCTCCTTGCTGAATGGCGTCATGCAGTACAGTCAAGTGGATCTCCTCGCAGGTGTTGCATGGTTTTCTCAATGTACACTGCTCAGGTTTATGGGTGCGCCCACATTTCCAGCATCTGGACTTTTCCTTCAGCCATTTGATTATTTGCTGGTTATTGAGCGCCTTGAATTCAGTACAACCATTCAAGTAGTGATCATAGTTGTTGCAGTGTGGACAGAAGGCCTTACGTTTGTCATTTGATGGCAACTGTTGTGAAGGTAACTTTCCCGTTATCTGTTTTCTGTCATCAGCCATGAAAACAGCAGTAGGCTGATTCCCTTTCTTGCGGGGAAACTTGTCTTTCCTCTCTTGTCTGGGGTTATCTTCTTTGTAGACTGTTGCAGCTTGACCAGCGATCCGCTTTGCCCGTGACTGTACTTGCAACCAGTCAGCAAGATGGTTTAGGGTATAGGTCTGCTTTCAGAATGCAGCGATTGATGCAGTGTTCCACGAATCTATCACGATATCCTGTTGGTAGTTTGCAGATCAGTCGGTCCACATGGGAACCGCACTTGAGTTCATAGCCATTTTCTCCTTCTAGGGAGCGAAGCATTCCAACCAGTGACTGGACTGAAAGCACAAAGTCGTCGAAGGCTACGTGGTCTCCAAACTTGACAAAAGGCATGTTCATGCCTATCTCACTCTGGACCAGCTGACGTGCTTGACCGTACTTGTCTTTGAGGGCTTGGAGTGCTGCTGAAATGGTTTTGGGTCTTGCATATATGCCTTAGCCAACCTCAGGATATTGCCCCCCAGATGCCCAAGCAGAATCTGATATTTATACTGCTCGGTGAGGTGTGGATGAACATTAACAGGATTGTCCAGGGCCAAATTTAGGGTGCAAAGTCAGTTCCTTGCCAGTGATGAAGTGTGGTAAGGTTGGACTGGGCACGCCATAAGATGAAGTGGTCAATAGTTCTGTCATGTTCGGCATGACTGGTGAATCTGGGTGCGATGGCGGGGTGACAAGTGGCTTCCCCGCTACTGGTGGCACACTGGGGATTGGTGGTGCAGGGTTCAGAGCTGCACCTGGCGAAGGAGACATGCCACCCAGGAGGTGACAGGCTATGGGTGGTCTTGCTGGTAGCTGAGATTCAGGTAGTGAAGCACACTGAAATGAAGAAGTCATATGTGTGGTCACTACAGTAGTGGTAGACATGGTTGGGTAACCCTTACTGCAAGTGACAGGTAATTTGGCATGGACCTCATTTGGTGTGGGTTGTGCCCTTTGTTCGGCAGACATGATGGAGAAATCTGGTTGAGGTTGCGGGGGTTGAGGCATGAATGGTGACAGAGGGTGGAATGTCAGCATGTGGAATGGCTGCCCAACAACTGGTGGTGTAGGATTCAGGGCTTCACCTGGTGATAGAAATATACCACCCAGGGGAGAAGAGGCTATGGCCGATGTAGCTGGTAACTGAGATTCAGGCCTTGCAGCATGCTGAGGTGAAAAGGTCACAGATGTGTTAGCTACAGAGGTGTTAAATGTCATTGGGTGACTTTCACTGAGTATGGCAGGTGACTTGGCATGGGCCTCATTGGGTGTGGATTGTGCCTTTTCTTCTGGGGACGCAGTGGAAACCTCTGGTTGAAGTGTCTGTGGCTGAGGCAAGGTGTCACCTGACTCCTGCAAAGTTTCACCAGTCATGGACGTAATAAGTTGGGCTTTCTGTAGCTCATGCTTGGCTTCTCTCAGTCGTCTTCTCCTGGAGAGCTGTGTATTCAGCTGTTCTCGCCGGCGCTGGGCCTCTCTTTCAATTTTCTCTGCTCGTCTTCTAGCTGCAAGTGCCTCTTCTTCAGCAGCTATCCGTGCCTCATATGCAGCATCATCAAGTCTCCTCAACTCATCGTCAAGTTGGCTCTCTTCTTCAAACTGACGTTTCATCTCCTCCAGATGTTGTCTTTTCTTCTGTTCTTCAAGCCTGGCTTCCTGAGCACTGCTCAGTGTAATTGACAAATGGTGACTAGACGCTATAGAGCCTTTATCTGAGCAGGAATCCAATTTGTACTCATTCTTGTCAACTCTGGACTTGGACTGGGTATTGTAGCTGACAACAAAGTCATCAAGATTCCCCGGAATTCTTCTTTCCCTTCTGGGACGGACATCATGTGTGGATGCCGCCTCTTGCAGTTCTTTGTTTCCTTGCTCTAGGTCATCCATAGGTCGCTGTGTGACTGTCGGGCTCGAAGGACCATGTGAAGAAGTGACAAGGTTCACTTGGAAAGGGAGGCGT